CTTCTTTCTATTTCTGTTCCATGGTTGACTTCCCCTTCTCTATGTATTACTACACACCTAACCCCACTCCCCCATTTGCCGTGCCCACTGCGTGCATTCCTGCTCACAGAGCAGCACACCTCTGGGATCTCCCGCAGAGATACCCAGGGGAGTGCGGCTGTGTGTGGAGATGACGTGGCTCCTCCCACGTGATCCCAACCACATGTATATAATAGCGCCTGGGGTGGGAACAGAAGAAGCAGCCTTCTTCTCAACTTCCCACTTCAGACTAAGTGGTCAGGGACACTCACCCTGCAACGGGACCGCTGCTATGCATAGCCGACACCTGTCCCATCGAGTCCCTCGCGCCAGGACCTCGCCACTTTCAGAGCTGTCCCTGACACAGAGGCTCAGAGCAAAGGTACGAACGGTGCCCAAGTACAGAGTATGGGACAGCGGTGGAAGGTCATAACTTGGTGGAAGGTCAGCAGATGTCACGGCCCCGCAAAGTCCCCGCCCCTCTACCACTTTCTGCACCCCCATTCTTGCGCCGTTACTCGCACCCGTTAATCTCGCCATTGCCCATCACTTAGTGGCGCCGATAGTGGTTCCCGTTCTATGGCCCCGTAGCAGCACCTCCTTCGTTCTCCCGCCACCACTTGGGTTCCTCAACCATTCGGCTGGTACCGTTTTATTCTATTCACTCGCTTAACTAACTAGTGGTTGTTATGGTCGCCGTTGATCCGCTCCTTATTGACATTCCTTTATTGACAATTGATTATTCCTTTTACCTTGCTTGCAAGGTCTCTTGCATGTCCACAATTCGTGGGAATTCTGCAAATGTATTGACCGCTTTTCTGCACATGTTCTTTCCTCCGACAGATCTTTCTGGCTCAGACTTGTACCCAGTCGTCATCGCTCCATGGATGCGCACTGCACACACGCAATTTCAAGTTGGGTTTATATTAAAAGTCACAGTCACCTTTACATGATGCATGAGTAGTCATCTTTTGTATTGAACCCTTAAAGTCACATGTGCCGGAAATAGAGTTAAACCCGATCACCTACTCCGAAAACCAGCACACGACACTTCACTCCAACGACTGGCACAAAAGTTGGGTGGCAGTGTTTTTCAGCAGCATCCGGGACTGAATTGTTGAGTCCACACAACTTGTGTGCAACAGATTAGGTTGTAGTCCAGTGCATTTTTAGTGTCAACTCACATAAGATTTGTACCCGACCCACCCCAAAGGGTATGAAGGGCTGCGGAGTCAATAACCTGAGCATGCAGAGAATCTGAGCCTTATATATTACTTTGAGAGCATTACTGTGTTGGTGCGAGTTAGTGCAGATGGTATAGCATTCACTGGGGCTATGCACTTTTTTTGCTTGCTCAGGTTCGACTCCCACTTGGTAACTTCCTTTTTTCATTCATTCCTCACTTCTTGGTGATGTATACAGAAATTTGTCACATGTATGAAAGGGGTGATGCATGAAAAAAAGGAGGTTACCAAGTGGGAGTCAAACCCGAGCAAGCAAAAAAAGTGCATAGCCCCAGTGAACGCTATACCATCTGCACTAACTCGCACCAACACAGTAATGCTCTCAAAGTAATATATAAGGCTTAGATTCTCTGCATGCTCAGGTTATTGACTCCACAGCCCTTCATACCCTTTGGGGTGGTGTCACGACCCGGCAATTCCCACGGTCAGGTGATCACTCCCCACACCTTCTCCCTCCCCCACTTCGACCCTGTCAACTCTGCTGCCCGCCTGACACCACCTGAACAAGCCCGTCACCTTTCCCCATCACCACTACCTGTTTCCACAGCCCGTCACAGGCCTATGAGTCTTTCCTTATCATGCTTGTTTCTCTTGATGGCCGTACACGGCCATCCTTCTCCCACACTCTTTGTTTGTTTTTGTTCCTTCTTAACCCCACCCGCAATCTCCGTGAGATCTGGCAACTTAATGTCAGGGACAGCTCCGAAAGTGGCGAGGTCCCTGCACACGGGACTTGGTAGGACGAATAGCGGCTGTGCGTAGCAGCGATCCCGTCGCGGGGTGAGCATCCCCGACCACTTAGTCTGAAGTGGGAAGTTGAATTATCATTAAAAGGGGAAGCTACAGTACTTACCTGAAGTGGGAAGTTGAGAAGAAGGCTGCTTCTTCTGTTCCCACCCCAGGTGCTATTATATACATGCGGCTGGGGTCACGTGGGAGGAGCCACGTCATCCCCGTGCACAGCCGCACTCCCCTGGGTATCTCCGTGGGAGATCCCGGAGGTGTGCCGCTCTGTGAGCGGGAATGCGCGCGGCGATTGGGGAGCGGGGTTAAGTGTGTAGTAATACATAGAGAAGGGGAAGTTGACCATGGAACGGAAATAGAAAGAAAGAAAGAAGGAAAGGGGAAAGAAGAAACAGGGAGTGGTAGCGGGGGAGCAGAGTAGGGCGGCGTGGTGCGGGGTCAGGCAGGTGTGCCCTGACACTTAATTCTATTCATCCCGTTATACTTAAATACCGGTTGCACACTACCTCGTACTTTAGTTCGAAAATCAACTAGGGTTACCCCCTGCACTCTCTGTCTGACCCAGTCACACCTTCTGCCATCTGAAATATCGGGGCCGCGTCAAGTACGAGGCGCAACGCTCACGAACGAGTCGTTGAAGCCGAAACCCCTTTCCGCTGTGATTGTCATCCCCACCCTTGACAGGCTGTTACACCGAAGCAGTGGACCTTAACGGTCACCGACGGCGAGTCACGGTAACGTTTTCCCATGCCCTGACAGGTGGGTTGGGTACAAATCTTATGTGAGTTGACACTAAAAATGCACCGGACTACAACCTAATCTGTTGCGCACAAGTTGTGTGGACTCAACAATTCAGTCCCGGATGCTGCCGAAAAACACTGCCACCCAACTTTTGTGCCAGTCATTGGAGCGAAGTGTCGCGCACTGGTTTTCGGAGTAGGTGATCGGGTTTAACTCTATTTCCGGCACATGTGACTTTAAGGGTTCAATACAAAAGATGACTACTCATGCATCATGTAAAGGTGACTGTGACTTTTAATATAAACCCAACTTGAAATTGCATATGCACAGTGCGCATCCATGGAGCGACAACGACTGGGTACAAGTCTGTTTCTGGCTCATTTGTCCCGCAAACTCTGTAGCGCAAATTTAGGCCCCAAAGGTGCTGTGCACAAGATCCTCTGTAACCTAGGGTCACCATGACAATATGACATATAATTCGGACCACTTTCACTATAGTACCGCTCAGGTGGTAAGGCAAGCCACCTGGCCCCTCTGCAAACAATCGATTGTTATCTTGAGTGCTTGTAGCTAAAACTGTTACAACTATGTTAACTCAGACTTCAGACACCCAGTCAGCTCCTGTAAGTACGAGTTTGACTCACTGTGCATTCCTCTTCACTCATTATTCCAATCTCAGTTCGAAACTCACGTGCATCTCTCCAGACGCGATTGTACACTCTAGAAACCTTTCCTACATGCAATCCACATGTGTGCGACTCTCAGACGCGCACCTGTGCTGATTAAGCCGTTCTCACTCGAAATTCACATGCCCACCTGCACATAGAAACGTGCGCTTGCAGCCACTCCGCTTTCTCTGTGTTCACAGCTCCTGTCATGACCAACAAATCCCGGGGCTCCATCAGCAGCAAACCAATGCCGATAGGCGAATCTGCTGACCTGAAACCCATCCTAACCAGCCCCCAACCCCATGTCTGGCCCCCTGCCTTACTGCGTGAGACTTGGCCAATAATCAGAACCTAGACCCTGCCGGTATTCCGACCTTACCTCCAGTTCCTGAGCCCTTGGCGCTCCCGGCATTCAGTCATGCCTGCCTTGTCTCCATCCGAACCACACTCATCGCTTCCCACTATGTGGTCACAGCCATGCCCCGCTTCCGTGCATTCCGCACCCTCTGCCCATCTCTGCACCTTCTGGCCACTTCTGGTTGCCCTTGACACCTCTGGTCAGGTCAACACTCCCACTCCCCTCTGTACCTCTGTTGGCCTTCATGCTGTCCTTGTGTGACAGTGCTGGCAGACCAACCTCTGTTTGCGGACTTGTGTCGGCACTGCACCGACCCCCCTTATTTGCAGACTTGTATCGGTGCCGCGCGCTGACCTCTGCTTTTCCTCTGGCCATTTGTCACTTGGCAGCTTATCATTCATTCCTTGCCGAGTGCCATCTATTGTTTGCTTCCCTGCCAATATCGGCATTTGATCCCCTCTTTATTGGCACTAGGTTATTGATCTCATTCAGTTATTCATCAATAACCCTTGCCACTTATTGTTTATTGATCTGTTCCTTGTTTCCAGTTCCCAGGCTCTTGTCCTTATTTAGTTTGACAATCCCCGCTTATCTCCGCGCCGGACCGTGCCGGACTGACCGGCCTTTCTATATTCCCTCTTGCCTATTTAAATACCTTGTAAATACTTTTGGGGACCTCAGTCTGAAATCAACTAGAGTACCCCCCCTGTCTGGTCTGAGTCTCTCCTTCTGCAAAGGGGGCTTCCCCCCCTCTGAGTCCGTGCTTGCGGAGTCCGCGCTCCTCCTATAGGTCCGCTCCGCCTGCAAGTCTTGTTTGAAGTCCGCTGTAAGTATCAGTCCGTAAATATGGGATCTCCCCCAAACATCAAGCTCAGGGCACAGCGCTCCACCTGAGTCGCTGAGGCCGCGATCCTGCTCTGTTAACCTTGAACAGCACTTCCGGACGCGCCGCACATTTCCGCCCGCATATCCGCATGCGCGCTCCAACAGACCTCTGCATCACCTCCGACCTCGACTCAGACAGAACCTAGTCCATCTTCAGTCTGTCTTCTGACAGCAATCCGAGATCTCTGACAGCTCCCCAGGCTCATTTGTGCCTACGCATGCTGAGAAACTCATGCCAGCACATCCTAGCCAAGCCCCACACGATATTCACGTGCTGACGGCACTCTACCTGTGTATTTGCCCTCCGACACTCTCTCTCACGCATGGCTGTGGAAACTTGCCATGTACTGGCTTGATGGTAGGGATATGATTCTGCCTTGGGGCGGTGAGGAATACTGGGAGACACCTGAATGCAATGAGGTGATAGAGAAGGCTCACAACGCGATAGGAGTCCTTGCTGACAATCTCAAGGCTGCGGTGATCGCACGCAGTGGTGGATTTCTGCATGTGAATATATTGATGCTGTCATTGTGTAAGGTCAGTTGAGGTTCCGACCTCGGTGTTGACTCCTGCTATCCTCAAGCTGTCAGGAATTAGGCAGTATAGAGCTGTAATTTCGACAGGGGAGGAGAAGAGTGAAAACCTGTTTCACCCTTCCCTGCAATTTATATACATTGTTTACATCGAGAAATAAAGAGTAATAAACAATGAATAAAGAAAGCGTGCACAGCACGCATCACCACACATCCATTCCCTACACATTGGGATCGTGCGTCACGAGGCTTTGTGGAGTCATAGGGATGAGGGTGTTGGATATAACACATGTAAGGATGTGTTTGAGTGGCTGGACCCCATTCATGCTGACCGGACCTCTATTCCTATGGTCCGCTTGTATGAGCTCGCACGCGAGCGCTATCTGAAGTCCCTTCCAACGGATCTCATTGTCCCTCTAGCCTTTGCCACATTTCGCCCATCCCTTTCCCCTCTTCCCCTTGATCTTGTGGCCGACGACGAGCCAGAATCGGATAAGAAAAACAAAGTACTTAGTGGGCTCTTGCCACCACAGGTGGCATCCACCAATCATATGCCAGTGTAAAGTGGGCACAAGACAACATGACACCAGTTGGTTTGATGGGGTATAAGAAGTGCAAAGTGCATTTGTTTAATTGGATAAAGCTAGGGGAATGAAGAGCATTGGCAAAGCTAACTGGTGGCAGGCAATGGTGAATGTAGCGTGCTCATGGCAGACAAAAAGAAAAGGGAAAAGAACACCCGTGTTGTCATATCCATACAATCCCGACCTCCGCTCCGGGCTCCCGGAACTCCGAACTCCGACTTCCAGAGCCCTACTTCCCTTCCGTCACCTTCTCCTTGCCGACTCCCAAGAGGTTATCCCACCTCTGGCTCAGACACCACCTTTGGTCCGACTCCGGAACACTCCGGGTCCGACCCCAACCTTGACACCTTCCAGACGAGTATGCAAAACCTATGCTCCCGACTCCGGACCTCCGCTCCGGAATCCCGTTCACGTCTCTGTCTCCGGAACCTCCGGTCTTAGCTCTGACCTTGGACTTTGACCCCACCTCCGCTTATACCCATTGTATTGGTTAGCTCATTCCATTTAATTATGTTTGCCAATATTCCGGAGTTTAACTTCCGAGTTCGGACTTTCCGGACTTATGTCGGACCTTGCAACTATTGCATTGTCCTATTCAGTTCCACTATTCTCCCTCATTCCTATTTGGGCCTTGGCCCTTCATTCCTCCTTTGAGAAACACCATTGAGTCAAACCCTTGACCCTCAGTGTTGTTCCTCTTTCCATCTCCCTTTGTCTCCTTTTGTCCTACCCTCGCTCCTTTTGATTCCGGACCCCTCCTTATATACAATGTACATAGTAACTTGTAACCTCAGTCCGAAATCGACATGAATTCCCCCCAAGAGACTTTCCCTCTGCTAGATCCGAAATTAGGGACCCCTAGGACAACCAGCAATGGCACAGCGCTCCACCTGAGTCGCTGAGGCCGAGGTCCTTCCACGCTAAGTCTCCGATTCCATTCCGGAGTCGTCCGAATCCGCCGGTTCTAACATGTGTGCAGAAAGATATTACCAGTTTGATGGAAATGATGTTGACAGAAAACATTCCCGTTCTGCTAACTTCACATGCAAAAGCCTTATCATAAGCAAGGTCAGGGCTGCACAGCAGCCATTTCTAGTATTGATATTTGATTTATACGTATATTGACATTCTGACCCGCATGCCTAGATTGTCGGCCTATCCATTCTGCCTCCCAACTTCGCTGTCCTCTGTTCCATTCATTTCTTCTGTTCCATTACCCTGGTCCTCATCGCTCTTTAGTTCTGTTGTACTTATCATCTCGCTCCCGTCCTGCGCCGGACCGACCAGTCCCTTCTCTGTTCTCCTTTCTTATTTATACTTGTAGTTTACTGTCGATGTACCTTAGTTCAAATATCGACTAGAATTCCCCCCCAAGTACTCTCATCCCAAGTTCGCCTCTCAACTTCATCCCCGCCCAAGTCAACATCGCCGCAAGGTCTTTCCTGCTAACGTGAAATACGGGACAGCCTAGAATGCATGGCACAATGCTCTGGCCAAGCCGAAGTCCCAATCCCACGACGCCTTGCAACAGAGTAGTTCATTAGCTAAGTGACCACTCACGCCGCCGTACTCCGCTCCGCTTCCCGCGATCACCTCGAACACAGTTTCTGACAGCGGAAGAGTAACAGAGGGGAGAGAGAGGAGAAAAGGAAGAGGGAAGGAGTGGTGGAAAGGGGAGTTGTCAGGTCCGAAGGTGAGTATTGGAGTGGACGAGAGAAGCGTAGGAGGATGATGGAAGGGTGGAGGTGTTGTGAAGGGGGAGTGGAGGAGTAGGAGGGGTAGTAGTAGGAGGGTGGCAAGAGGGGTGGTGTTCGGTCCAAGGTGAGTATCGGAACGGACGGAGATAGGGGAGAGGGAAGGAGGAGTGGAGGTGGCATTGGAGGTAAGAGGAGGTGTGTTGCCAGGACCGAAGGTGAGTATCGGAATGGGCAGTGGTAGGGTAGGACTCCGGAGGTGAAGAGGGAGGAGGTCTGGAAGTTGGGTCGGGGTTGGGTATGCACAGATATGACAGATGTGGGTGGTGTGTATGTCATGACCCGACATATCCGTCACTTCCCTCTACGCATCCTAGTGCCACTTGGTCCGTCCCTCCCGCTATCATCATCATCCATCCACCCATCCGTCCACCCGTCACCCTCATCTGCACTTCCTCCCTTGCACGCGTACCTACCAACCTAGGTTGCCTGCTTCATTGTTGTCCGCCCCCAGCCGGATGGCTTGCTAGATGGCCAGATGGCCTTTTCTCTTTTGTCTGCTTGTGGACTATTGTTCTTCCTTTTGTTTCTTGCTTTCCTTTTGTTGACCAAGTTTGCCAATACTAACTATTTGTTTCTTTCTTCATTCATTAATATCGCGCTTGATCCGCCACTCCTTCCGGGCCGGTCTCATTTAGTTACTTGTGTTTATAACGCATGTAGGTTACACCGGATGTACCTCGGTTTGTATATCGACTTGGATTCCCCCTCTAAACTCTTATCCTCATCATAAGGCTTCTGTCTGAAATTGGGACACCAACGTAAGAACGAAGTGCAGCGCTCCACCCGAGTTGCTGAAGCTAAAGTCCCGCCCCTCCGACCTTATGAGCCTGGATGACTTCACGTGCCTCGCAGGTCACCCGGATATGCTTCTGGCACGTTCCTGACAGTATGTGGGCCGGTTCCAGGCCTGGCTTTCCATCATGGCCTGCAATTCCTGGAACCGGGCCAGCAGATCATCATATTGCTCTTATGGCTCCTAGTGGATCGGATCAGATCGGATCAGGATCAGAATCCGCAGATTTTTAGAGGTTTGAAATAAAATCCGTATCCGGTCGTTAGAAATCTGCGGATATGCGGATCAACTGCAGATTGTAGATAAAATGTTCCAAAGTTGCATTTCGTCAGAATTGTCCTTGACGAGAGCTTTCTAACAATCCCAAATCTGTCCATATTGGTGGAGAACTGATGGAAATATGGGGAGAATGGTGGAAAACTTGGAGGTCAAATGCCTAATTTGGGAATAGCAGGCCTGGGTGGTCAAATAAGACTTGAAAAAATTGGAAGAAAATATAGAAACATAGGAGGGATATCTAGAACAGTAGCGACAATAAATCCGCAGATTAGAAACCGTGGATATTATCCTGTCAAAAGCCAAATCCGCATCCGCAGATTTTCGGATAAATCTGTGGATATCCAAGTGTTATCTGATCCGCTAGGAGCCCTAATTGCTCTTGCATCAGCATGGTGGGGAGGGTAAATAAGGTTGAAACCTTCTTCTGCTGTCAGGGACATGTCCGGGGTTGAGGCCCGGATGTAGTGCCTGGGACTGAGGTCCTCGTTGGGTGTAGAACAGGCATGCATACTGACAGGCCAGATGCAGGATGATGGTCCCTGGCCACTTAGACTGAATTGGGAATGTTGAGTTGTTATTAAAAGGGAAACTATACTACTTGCCTGAAGTGGGAATGTTGAGAAGAAGGTTACTTCTTCAGTTCCCACCCCAGGAGTGTTTATATACATGTGGCCTGAGTCACATGAGGTCCGCCACATCACCCTGCATACAGCTGCAGTCACCCAGGTGTCCCTATGGGGGATCCCAAGGGTGTATGCTGCACGCGCACGTACTAGGTTCCACTCTAGAGTCGTCCAGGGCATCCAGGGCTGGGCATGTCATGTGTGCATTGCAGGCAGGTCGATAATACATAGATGCAAAGAAAATCTGTGTAAGATAGAAATAGAGATAGAAATAGAAATAGAAACAGAAGTAGAAGGGAGGTAGAAAGGAGGATGAACAGGAAAGGAGGGCATGAGATGCAAGAAGAGGAGGTGCTGGGTGAGGTGGACCTGGGTGGGCCTGGGTGGAGGCAGGTTGGGTGGGCATGCCCTGAGAAGCGCTGTGCTGCTGGTTTGTTGTCTAAGGTGGTCCTTAATTTCAGGTTAGCAAGGGGGAGCCTCTTGGGGTGACAATCCAGTTGATTCTGGTTATCTAGTTGTTGTCGTCAATTTCAGACTAGGGGTACAGGAAACTATGTACAGTGTATATATAATAATACAGGAGTGGAGTCAGAGGACAAATACAACCCAAAGGGAACAAAAGGAACTGGAAGGAGACAAAGGGGGACTGGATGAGGGAACAACCCCAAGGGTCAAGGGTTGGAACTCTATGGTGCTTCCCAAAAGGGCAGGGCCAAGAGGGGAAGGAGTGGAGTGGGTTGTGGGGAATGACAACTGACTAATATGGAAAGGAAGCAGCCATCTAAATAAGGAAGAAGCAATAAGAGGATTAAATGATACCATACAGTAGAGACTGCAGGGCCCGGAGTAAGTTCCAGAGGTCTGGAGTTGGAAGTCAAAGGGAGATAAGATGGAGGAGGAGGTCAAAGTCTGGGGGCAGAGATGTGACCGGGGTTTTGGAGGTGGAGGTGTGATGGGGTTCCAGTACAGGAGTCCAGAGCCAGAGGTGTGGAGCATCACAAGCTCTGGTCTGTTTGGGATGTTGTGTTGGAGCCAGCGGTAGAGTGGGCTCTCAACAACCAACAGGGGGAGGTGGAGGATGTGGAGTTCTGGAGGAGGAGATGGAGGTCCAGAACCAGGAGTGGAGGTCCAGAGTTGTATGGATATGACATTGTGAAAGATTCCACATTTATGAGCAGACCTGTCATGCCCTCCTAAAGCACCTTCCACATGACCTCAGCCACATGTATATAAACATAGCCTAAGTGGAAACTGAAGAAGTAGCCTTCTTCTCACACTTCCCACTTCAGCCTAAGTGGCCAGGGGCACATATCTACACTGGGTCCACTGCTATGCATGCCTGCATCATACTCTACCAGACCCTCAGTGCTGGGTGCTATACCTGGGCACTCTTGACCCTGGATCCATCCCCTCTCTCCACCATATCATTTTTTGTTTGTTTTTCATCTGAATAAACCTTAAATTTGATGTTTTCTGTGGTTCTGTTGTCATATTTTTTCACTGAATCTCCTTTCAGCTCTGTATGTGGACATAGTTATCACAGGTCATGTGTGGGTTTCTGTGCATTTCCAATACACTCTGGGCCACATTGGCTGTCTCCCACTACAACCCTAGTCATGCCTGATTAGCTATCACTTAATAATTGCACACCATTGTGACATTTTGTGGTTGTGTGATCTGGCTCACAATCTATGGCTACACCCTACATTATGGTACAAGCCCTATTGGTACTGTTTAAAACTGCTGATCAAATATGGCATGGCCAGTGAGTCATGCATGAGGGCTGAATCATTGGTTTGTCACCTCCATTGATGAACCAAGACATGAGTGAGTGATATGTCCCCCTTCAACCAATTAACTGGTCACAGGTGTTCTGGAAGATCCTAGTCCAACAATTAAATGGGCAACTCAAGGCATACAATAGCAACATACATTGAGTGGATCTAAAATAGCATCATTCCCTTCATGAACAACATCCAGTGTCAAACCATTACATCTGGCATTCATCCCATAAATTAGTTCATGAATATTTGGAAAAGCAACTTCCTTACTGAACATCTAGTGATAGGATGTCCCTGCTGACTCTGTGTCCATCCACACTTGATTCTGGCAATGATTGACACTTGTTGAGCAGATGGGTCAGAGAAGACAATTGGAGCATCTGAATGCACTGGAGTATCCCAGCTTCTTTGGTCATAACATCTTTGTTGTTGAAAGTGTTCCACAATGTGACAGCAGATGACACACCAATAAGGAGTGCAGAAAGACAGCCAAAGCAAAGCGGAATTGTATGAATAGTGAAACGTGCAGATAGCACTTGTCTTGAACCATAAACTCTGGCTTGGAGAGGTTGCCAAGAAAGACCATCAATTGGACCCTGGCTTTCATACTTTGTTCGCCAATATTGGTCAAGCAATGCTACATATCTTGCAGTGAACAGACCAAGTTGTTCACCCAGTCCAGACATTCCACCTTGGGTGGCAAATGTTCCATCATATATTGGATCCTCCAAGCCGAAACCTGAATATAGGTCATTTATGTATAATAGGTATATTAGACTGTCCCAATTCATTTCGATGATGTGGGTTGGTTTTCCTGATCGCACATAGCCTGGTGGTGGTTCAAATATTTCCACCACCTCTGGGATGAATGACTCCAACTTGTTTGAAGTCACTACAGCTCTACCATTGAGTATGTGGAGTGTACACGCGATAGGCCAAAGATACACAGTGACATTCACTGGTTCCAGTCTCCTTGTTTTGTGGATATAGCTGTCCAGTTTGTCTAATGCTGTTTGAGGTGAATGACAAGTGCATTCTGCATCTGGATCAGACTCACAGGTGCTATGATTCTGGACATATGTCCACATTTGTGTCTGGATGGTTAGACTATATGGACCCTGTAGTGGTGCTCTGCCCTCTACAAGGGCATGTGGAGTTCCTGAGATATGAATCATGGGCAGCACTCCAGTATGGGAAGATTGAGATTGGAGTAAGGCAATTGTATTTGGAACTAAGAGAATTTGGTGAATCATCCCAGCTAGTGACTAAATGCATACTTACCAGTCACACCTGGGGTGGATGACTTGTTCTCTTTTGGAATTGTTGATTGTCCAAGACTAAGGCCTGGCAACTGCCAAGTATATTCAGTGCTTAAACCAGGGTATGGGTTAACACAAGTAGTCAAATTCATGTACAGGAAGTATTCGCCAGAATGATTATCCTGGGCATCTGGAAAGTCAGTTACAGATGTGCACCATATGTCTCACTTACCATATGAATGTTGCCAGTGTATGGATTCTCTTTTGATTGAGGAATCACATTGCATGACACATTGTACTTTGTTGCAAATGGATCATGGAAGGTTCCCCCTTTATCCTCTGGTGCATTGAGTGTACTAAACAGAACACTGCACCAATTACTGTATGAAGTTCTGTGAAAGGATGAGAGGCTTACGTTTGATTCCAGCCAAGAATATTATCAGTACCAAATGTGGTGTCACCTAGTAGGTATGGAGCAGCTGCAAGAAACTCCACTATGTGATTGGTGAACTGCAAAGAGACTGATAGATTACCCCAGACACCTGGGATTCTGTCAACCATGAAATGTGTTGGGATTGAAGCATTGAATGCTTCTGTTGTCACAATAGTTGGCGTGGCAACATGTGTAACCATGATTCCAAGGAAAAATCCAAAGACACATGTTGTATTGAGCTGATTCAGAACCAATGTTGGAGCCAGCACCAGGGAGCAGGGCCCTTGACGCCAGGCCTTGAGAGTGTAATGCAATGCTCCTAAGGGCATTTCTAGAGGGGAGGTGATTGTGTGGTCAGTCTGGTGCATAAGAAATAGCTTGGGGAAATCATCACACTTTGCCTTAGTGAGACATCACAGGCAAGTGATGAGACAGACAGAATGACTAATGCAGACACCATAACCACAAATCCCTCTTTGAATGTCAGTAGAATTTGGTTCATCAGCCCTAAGTGCCTGATATCGAAGTACAAATGGTCCAAAACATGAGCCTCAGACAAAACCACAAGGCAGCCATGGAAAGCAATTAGCACCAGTATCCCTCCTATGCCTAATCTCCACAAACTTCTTGCATGAATGGAGTGAAGATGCTCAGCACATGAAGGTACCCCTGACCTGGACAAGTTTGGTTGAGTCCAAACTCGATCAAACAGATTATTGGTAGCTTTGGATCCTAATGATGGCTGCAAAAAGCCTTTCAGTGTTGATCAGAGGGTGAATGAAATTCAAAGATCTTACTTACAAACATGGATTGAGATTGGAGGATGAGACCTCCTTCTGAATACCTGCAGTGAGGTCAGGCTAGAGATGTGCAGGTGAAACTTGAACACTCACTTAACAACAGCATTGTTTATATAGTCATAGTCCAAGAGACCCTTGTGCTGGGAGGAGCAGTGTGACACAGCACTGGCACTGGACTGAGACCCACCCAGTAAAGATATCATATCGAGAAGGCTGCCATCATGAACCACCTGCTGCCATTGTGTATCCTCAACCACAGCCCCCATCATGATGAATCCATCCCAGATGATGAAGAAAGAGATGAACATGATGCACCCACAGAGTGCAGTCACAATGATTAGTGGGAAATAGGCAACTTGGGCAATGGCTTGGTCAGACTGGTGTGTTCCAGTTGTATTGAAGTAAATGGGTGACCAAACTGCATGCATTATGGTAGGATCATGAAGTAGTGCCCTTCGACAATTCATAATGGTAAAGCCATATATGAAGGCAGAATACAAGCTGAGTTGGGTCTCTAATCCTGAGAGGCTCAAAGACTGGTTCTGGGGGCTTAGTGAAGTTGAGGTGAGGTCCAAAAGTGCAGCCTGTGGTAGAGGCTGTGTTCCCAGCACTGAATTAGAACCAAGGGGAAAAAATTCATCCACAAGGTTCAGTTTCATCCTGTAGGCCATGTACAGCATGCCACTGAAATGTTTTTCCACATAGTTTGCTGGGTTTGACCAGCGCTCAAAAGGCATATTGATGAACTTTGGTTCAGAATTGTATTCATGTTTACCCAGGATTTCCAGCAATTTGTTGTCAGAACCTGACACACGTGTGGTTAGATTCTGTGTGTACATTGCACATCCAATTGGCCATATATTGATTGTTATGTTGATGGATTCCAAGGTGATATTGGACTTGCCTTGATGGAAGAGAAGAGTCAGCATCATGTCACAACCCACATGATGGAATGACACACTTGAATTGGTCATTGCCACAGATGTATAAACTTGGACCTCTTTTGTGAGCTGCACAGGGGAACCTTGCCTTCCACCACCTAAGGTATAGTCCTTTGTGGTCACAAGTGCTATTGCAAAAGCACCAATTTGGTCAACATCATCTTGGGGATATAAAGCTAAAAGTGTGTCATTAACTTGATGGTACAAACATCCATTAGATAGTCGAAATCAGCAATTTATAAAGACACAAATACAAATGTGAAACACTTACACCAGAATTGGGGTGGTGTGGATGAAGTTGGTTTCTCATCACCAAGAGTAAAATTTCCAGTGCCCTGATTTATTAGACCTGCAATGGCCCTTTTACTAGATACATAGTGCAGCAGGGTACCAGGAATATAGGTAAACTTGAGATGTACATCAAATAATAATGTAGTTCCACTGTCTGGATAATTTTCTATTGGCCCTGAACCACAGGTGAAAATCAACCAGATATCTGAGCATTAATCAACATACCCAGAGAGTAGGAGAAATCAAAAGAATCACCAGAAGCATGAGGAATGATTCCACACCTTACACTCAAGTTGAGGGCATTGTGATCTTCAAATTCCACACCTTCCAATTTTTGATCCATTGTACCAAAAAGGATTCTGAGCAAATCTAAGCAAACAGTGGCCTAATGGCAGAAATGCAACATACGTATCATTTACTCCAACAAGGTCTCTGACAACAATGGATTTCCTCTGGCTGTATAGATAATCAATTGCAGCATATTGCACATCATTGAAATCATCAGTCATCATGTTACCTGGCATGGAGTTGACAGTTACTGGTACCCTCTGTTTCACAGTTACCACCTTCACTGAGAACAAAGAGGGTGTGGCTATTTGGAACACAAAGATAGAACTGTAAAAAAAGAGAACACGAAATAATTGAAGGCGGACAGGGAAAGGGTGGTTTTCACTATGCCAAATAGCACGAAGTGAAGACCCAAGGCCTCGCCAGGCTTCAACATTGTCATGAAGCACACGAAGCACCTGACCTAGAACATTGTGTCAAAATCTACTTCACAGCAATGCATGAAACTCACGTTGCCGCATTGTAGCATTGACTGCAATTGCTGGTATTCCATATGAAAGCAATGCAAGGAGAGTTGTGACAACAAGTTGCAAGACAAATGACAAAATTTGTGTTGCAGTTTTGATGTGCTCAACGCCAAAATTCCGATGTTCCAGAAAGGAAGAGAAGACCAAGAAGTCAAGGACACTGAGGAAAGCCAATAAACCTCCAGAAGCAAGCAAGCATGCTATCGCATGAAGTTGTAGGGCCTTGGGAATGACCATATTTGTTGGCATGTTCAACACCCAGAAGAGCCTCAGATTGGTGAGGCTGCTCATAGCTCTGGACTTATGAAGGTGAGGATTGGAAAAGGGATCTTCCTGATCAGATGTTAACAATGCAATGATGGTGATGGTGAGAGCTTGAAGTGCAAGCCACATGATGCACCAACAAAAGAATGACAAATTGCAAGATTCAAGTGTGAAAGCCACCAGTGATCCCCTGTGTGGTATAAGTCTCCAAATAGTTTGAAGCTTGTCAATTACAGATTATTATAATAATATATTGCCTCCTGGTCACTCACCATGGTGGAAATTTATGTGCTGCTGTAGTAACCAAGCTAGTAGCACATTTGCTAGGCATAAACCACAGTGATGATTCCATTGCAGTGTAAGGCAGTGCACTCCATCAGCAGTTCTTGATATCCTTGTGCACTGCTCTGACAAAAATTGATGTACATTCTTGAGAAAACCCCAGAGAATGGCCAGCTGGCCAGAGTTTATTGGCTATGCATTCTTCAACACACTTCCTTTCATCCCAGCTTTGTCTAAAGCCTTGAGTGGTTGTTGAGGGTCTACAGACAGGGCAATTGCATAATCAGGAATTGGACTGGTCACACTCTGAATGAGTGAATGTTTTGTTTTTTTTTGATCTTGATGCCACCAGCATCATGGAAAGAACTTCAGACGGGAATCAGAAGTGTGGGCAGTCAATCCATGTATTAAAAACCTCCAGTTCATCACAGTCAGGGTACATCATGATGGTTAGATAGAAATCACAGTGACTGGATTTGGAGGTTCCATACCCATGCTGGGCAACATCCTCTGTGGGGTTCTCAATCCAGTGTCATTTCAGATCTTCCTCATTGATTGATTTCATATTTCAGATCACAGGATTGTCTCTTGGAGCATTTTAGGATCCAATTCATTATAACAATATGCAAACACTTGGGCAGGATGGGAGGACAGCATTTAAATTGTTCTTGATGCATCACATAGTTACAGGTCTTCAATGAGCATGTATGCCCTGTCAGAGACCAGGTTGAGACGAAGGAGTGTCTCCATAGTGGAGGGCTTTGGCCTCAGCAACTTGTGCCAGGAGCGCTGTGCCAAGTAACATGTCTGTGCCCTGACTTACTAACTGGCAACCAGAACTGAAGGGGGTAAACTCTAGTTGATTTTATTACTGAAGTGTAACCTATGTACAAGTTGAATATATATATAGTTACAGCGAAGATGGGTCTGCAAATGGTGGAGCCGAGCAGAGTGGAACTAACAGGGTTAAACATTAGCTGACTGAATGTTACTGACGAGTCGGGTTACGGGGTTAACGGAAAGGCAGGTGATAACCCAGAAATGGAAAGGAGGGATAGGCCTGAAGGTGGGCTCTGCAGGGCAGGCAAGTGTATTGCCCAGTGGAGGTGGGAGTGCGCTAGCAGACTGTCAGGGCACACCCACCTGACCCCACTCCACCCGGTCCGACCCCACCTGATCCCACTATCCTCACCCGCTGCCCCCATCCTCCCTCCTCCTTTCTCTCCTTCTTCCTTTCCCTTTCCCTTTTCCTTCTTCTCTCCTTTCTTTCTCCTTCTTTCCTTTTCTACTACATGGACGACTTCCTTGCTCAATGTGCCATTAACATGCAACACACCCGGACCCGGACACACCGGGTGATGCCCTACACACCGGATGCCCCCAAGACCTCTTACGGAGATACCCGGGTGGATGTGGCTGTGTGTGTAGATGACGTGGCGCTCCCCACGTGACCTCCAACCACATGTACATAAACACAGCCTAAGTGGGAACTGAGAAGTAACCTTCTTCTCACACTTCCCACTTTAGTCTAAGTGGCCAGGGACCCTTGCCTGCTTCGGGCCCATTGTTACACATGCCCACGCCCCACCCTGCCGGGCCCTCAGCCCCAGGCGGTATACCCAGATGCTGTAACGGGTCTATTGATCTAGACTCACAACTCAGGTCTAGGGGGGGTAGGTCTCTCTCTATCTCTCAGGTAGATGTGGTCCTTTTGAGTACAGTGCTGATACTCTGTCTAACCTCTAACTAACTGTCTGTACAGTTGTCACGGAAGAGTCCGATACAAATATAAAAGGAAAGTCACATGCATGAATGAATGAAAATAGTAAGGAAAATAAAGAAAAGGTCATATCTCCTCAACCACTCCACCAAATCCGACGATCTTGGACTCTTCAGAACCACCTCCACAGCATCTACAACCCCTACTATTACCACGACTCACCAATCCTAGTCCCTGATGCAGTAGGGGGTAAAATGCGTGATAAGGGTTGGTTTGACCTGCACGGACTTGTCCCCACAACAACGCTCTCAACCCTGGGTCGGTCCCTGACAGCAGAAGAAGGTTACTTCTCAGTTCCCACTTAGGCTGTGTTTATGTACATGCGGTTGGAGGTCACGTGGGGAGTGCCACGTCATCTACACACACAGCCGCGTCCGCCCGGGTATCTCTGTAAGAGGTCTTGGGGCGTCTGGTGTGTAGGGCGTCACCTGGTGTGTCCAGGTCCGGGCGTGTTGTGCGTTAATGGTACATTGAGCAAGGAAGTCGTCCATGTAGTAGAAAAGGAAAGAAGGAGAAAGAAAGGAGAGAAGAAGGAAAAGGGAAAGGAAGAAGGAGAGAAAGGAGGAGGGAGGATGGGGGCAGCGGGTGAGGATAGTGGGATCGGGTGGGGTCGGACCGGGTGGAGTGGGGTCAGGCAGGTGTGCCCTGACAGTAGGCAAGTTGTATATACTTGCCCTTTCATTTAAGTAGTAGGATTGTGCCCTGGATTAGGCTAGCCAGACTTGAGGCTGTGGGCCATAGGGGAGGGTCATGGGGACCTGGGAGTTGTCCCCTGACAGGTTCATCCTCTCCCTCACTGTCAGGGGACGACTCCTGGGTCCCCATGACCCTCCCCTATGGCCCACAGCCTCAGGTCTGGCCAGCCCTATCCAGGGCACAATCTACTGTGGGTAAGGAGATGAGAAGGAAGCTAACTTCTCATCTTCCCACAGTGGCCACCGTATCAGGAAAACTTCCGGGGATACCCGGAAGTCACATGAAGGCAGGATCCGGGGCCGGACCATGCGGCGCACGGAGCATGCGGCATGGGAATGCGCGCGGGAAGTGTAGCGGGTCCGGATGCGGGTCCGGGTCCGGGCTAGTCAGGGTGTGTGCCCTGACACTCACCTCCACCATAACCTCCAGTATACCTCTGGTCCACCTCTGCCTCTAATCTCCAGTACCTTCTCCGGTACCCCTTATCCTCATCTTAGATGTTTATTAATATTTCTACCTACCTAATATTACTATGGACCTCCTAGGACCTCCACCAACCTGTCAGGGGCAGCTCCAGAAACGGTGAGGTCCTGGCATGAGGGACTTGATGGGGCAGGTGTCGGCTATGCATAGCAGCGGTCCCATCGCAGGGTGAGTGTCTCCGACCACTTAGTCTGAAGTGGGAAGTTGTGTTATCATTAAAGGGGAGAAGTGTCATATCCATACTAACTCCGTCTCACCTCCGCTCCACTCCCCCACCATTCCGGTCCACCTCCAGTCCATCCTCCCCCTGCACCTCCACTATACCCTCCAGTTCACCTCCAGTTCACCTCCACCTCTGATCTCTGGTACCTCTTATCCTCACCTTATACATTTATTAATATTTCTACCTACCCAATATTACTACAGACCTCCTAGGACCTCCACCCACTCTGCAAAGGTTTTCCCACTCCCCAGTAGCTGTCACTAATTCCACCCTTCACCTACCTACTCCACAATGCTCAATAAGGCGATTCTCTCACGAGCTCGCTGATCCGGCAAGTGGGTAAGTCCCCCTTGGGTTTTCCCCTTTGTTCCCATTTGTCTTCTATTATGTATATAAGTCCTGTACTGTAGTTGATGGCACCTCAGTGCAAAAATCGACAACTAGACTACCCCCCCAGAGTTTGCACCCCCTTGTTCTGAAGTTAGGGACCAGACTCCTAAGCATTATCGAACATAGGCACAGCGCTCTCTCCGAGTCGCTGAGGCTGTGGTCCTTCCACCCATTCTCTACCTCCAGCCTCCTTCTGGGGAAAGGTCCAGGGACACTGCCCTCCTTGCCATGTACTTGACAAGAAGCTACAGTACTTACCTGAAGTGGGAAGTTGAGAAGAAGGCTGCTTCTTCTGTTCCCACCCCAGGTGCTATTATATACATACATGCAGTTAGGGTCACATGGAGGAAGCCACATCATCTCTGGGCACAGCCACACCTCCCTGGGTGTCTCTGTGGGAGATCCCGGAGGTGGCCGCTCAGTAGGTGGGAGTGCATGCAGCATGTGTGCTGAATCAGGGGAGCAGGGTTGGGTATGTAGTGGTACATGAAGAAAAGGGAAATCAACTGTAGAATAGAAATAGAAAAAAGGGGGAAAAGGGGAAAGGAGGGATGGGGAGTGGTAGTGGGGGGAGTGGAGTAGGGCAGTACAGCATGGGGTGTGGCACAGGGTCAGGCAGGTGTGCCCTGACAATAGGGGCCACCTTGTGGTTCCGGTCATAGTAGCAGGCCATCTCGTCCACCACATGCTCTAGCGCTGCCTTTGCCTCTTCTTGCATCTTCATCATCCTCAATGAGAAGGTATCAGCGGCTTCTACCTCAGATGTGTGTGTGGGCTCTGTCCCCATCCTGGGGTGTTGGCCAGTGTCAAGCTCAAAAGGGGTTCGGTGGGTGGAGGAGTGGATGCAGTTGTTATAGGTGAACTCCGCTAGCAGGAGCCAGTCTGCCCAGTCATCTTGGCGGTGGTTGATGAATACCCGGAGGTAAGCCTCTACTTCTTGATGTACTCTCTCTGTCTGCCTGTCTGTCTGGGGGTGGTAGGGCATCGAGGGGGTGAGCTTGATGCCAAGGAGGTCTGCAAGTTCTTTCGAGAATTGTGAGATGAAGGCACTCCCTCTGTCACTGAGGATCTCTTTGGGGAGACTGTGGTGCTTCCAGACGTGTTCAAGGAAAACCCACACAATCCCCACTGAGTCCACCATTGTCACTGTTGGAATTGCATGGATACGTTTGGATAGGTGGTCCACTACAATCAGGACAGCGTTGTAGCCCTTCAACTCAGGGAGCTCTCCAATCATGTCCAGTGAAATCACTTGCCAGTGGCGGGTGGGGATCT